TGGCGTTTCATCTCTGCACGTCAAAACTGGATTTATGCTGAAGAGGCGTTGATGAGAGCGCTGGAGATTGAGGGGCGCGTGACCCGAGGCCCAACAAGCTCGACCACGACGCTTGAGCGTGGGCTCAACTTTTGCGCCGCTCCCTGCACAAGCTGCCGAGAAGCGAGGCCCGCTCCTATATTCCGCTTGCATCACACCTTGGCTCCTAGGCTTGCTAGGAGGGTTCGGTCTGAGTAATTGGATCAAAGCCCAGGGGGGGCGCCCGTCCAGGGTTGACCAACCAGGCGGGCTGTTCCTGCGGAGAGGCTCAGGCAAGTGGCGGCCGACGCCCGCATTAAATGCTGGTGTACCATGAAGCGAACATATCCGAACGGCACGAGCGGACGTTCGCAGCCTACGCATGCAGAGGGCCGCTTTACCGCTAATTGCTGCGTTGCGACGGACTTTCTTTGACTTGATGGTCGAGCAGCATGCGGCAGAGCAAAGATGGCGACACTCAATCCTGATTGGCAGCCGTGAATCTTGAATACCTTGCTGTCTGCATGCTGATCCGACGATCCATCAGCTCTTGCTATACGGTACGTGTGTTGCTCCGCGGGTGGCAGAGTGGTCTGGTTATCGATCATGACATGCAGATCGGGAATTACACTCGTGACTTCGTTCGTGGTCATTCGTGATTCTGCCGGGTTGGATGCGCAGTCGCGAGTGCTCCACCCCTGTCCCAATTCCCAGAAGACAATCCAACTTGCAATCACAAGTAAGCCACACGTGATAGTGTGTAGGTGCTCCGACCCATCAAAAAAAGATTCACCAAAATCAAGAATCGAACGAATCTCATTCATCATGCAGTCCATTCATGATCCGAGATATTGTCCACCGCGGTCAAGGCTTGGACGTGCTCGTCGACCTTTCAGGTTGCGAATCACTTTGACGATACGGCTTGACTGCTGGAGCCTCAGCAAAGCAAAACGCTCGTTGTGCACGTCGCTCTCGGCCGGCGCTTCCGGGCTCATCAAGGTTGATCGCTCCTCTCGCCGCACCCGCTGCCTCGCTTGTGATTGTTGCAGACTGGATGAGGAGCTATCCGCATCGCAGTCATGAGTCGTGAGGCTCTGCTCTGCAGAAGGAGCTACAAGATGCTGTCTACTGCTGTCGGCATGCACGCTTCATCTGAATTGAAGTGCTGTGACTTGTACCCCTGTCGATCCCAAAAAATTGGGAGCCCCTTATCTCGATCTGACCATGCAAGACTCCTTCTGCAGCAACCGTGCTTGCAATCAGGACGAGATGGCAGGTGAGGAGCATTGACCGCCCGAGACGTTCGGATGCGCGGCTCCAAGCTCGACCGACGAGTGCGGGATCGAGGTCGAGCAGCAAGCTATATAGCGAAGCAAAGCTTGCAGAAAGCTTGCTGTGCACACGAAATCGCAGCTTGTTGCCACTGATCGACTCACGATTCCATCGTTCTTGAGTGATTCTTGCTGGGCTTGGCGCACTTGTCAACCCGAAGTCGCGACTCGTGTGACTACAATCATGAGTAGGCAGGCGTAAGGGCCAGCTCCATCGCAGTGCAAAACAGCCTGAGGTGTGCGTGAGACTGCCATGGATGGCATCGCGCGCTAAGGCGTGAGTGCTGAAGCACGACTTGATGCTTACCCTAGCTCCTTAGGCCGTCGCAGCTAAGACTCGCAATTTCAGGGGCTTCTCCCCTACTTTGCCATGGAAGAGTGTCAGCAGCGGTCATGAGTCGCAACAATTAATGATTCATAGAAAATCACGAATGCTGCTACTCGATCGTGACTCTCACGAATGCGCCATTCATCATTCGAGGGTCCCTCCGTCTGTTGATTGGACTTTCATGAAACATATTCGTACCGCGGCAAAATCCATTTGGACAACAAGGGAGCGAGCACGTAAGGTGACACAGTCGTATATATAGCATGCATATGCGACATCCGTAGCTGCTGCGCCAGTCATCATCACGCCGTCTTTGTATCCGTGACAGGCAGCAGCTGTTCTACGGACACGGTGCTGCTTGGCACAAGGTACGCGCCAGGCGTCTTCCATGCAACGGTCGGGGAGGGGGTCAATGCAAAAAGCCGGGTCGTTAGGAGCGGTCTGCTCGACGATCTGATCGTGACTGCTACTGCGACTATATGGAATACCAAGGTTACAGTCATTCGGGCGCGAGGATGGGGTTTTCTCGCTGCTGCCCCTCACGATCGTGTCGCCGATTAATCACATGAAACAAATTGCGCCGCAAGTCTCAGGTCGATTGATTGAGTCGATAGAAATTCCAGAGACGCTGTTTCTTTGCGATGGATCACCTTCTTGTCCCGTCGCAGCTAAGAGTCCTTTCACCTGTCACATGAAGTTGCATGGTTGTGACAGCTAGATATTGCTGATCGATCTTGTGCGCTTTTGCTGCATTCACGCAAGCTGTCTGATGGAGACTTGCAAGAGCGAAGATCTGGCTTTGAATGTGGGCGGCTGAGTTGCAGGATGTTCGCAACCTGCTTGAGACAAAATCAAGAGCAATTCCAAGCATGAGTCTAATCTAATGGATGTTTCATTCATCCGCTCGAGCATCAATACGATCAGCCCAGCACCGTGGTCAGGGCGATCGCCACGAGGCAATGTGTGATTGTCTGCTTTCTGATGGCAAACAGCCGCTATGATCGATATAGGGCTGCAGCAGGACTCTGACTCGTGTGTCTATAGGGCACAGACCAAGATTGCACGGGTGCATTTTCTTTGGCACGCCGTACGCTTGATGTTGAAGGTGAGGTCAGGGAAAGCCGAGATGTGATCTGAATCGCATGCTAGCCATCACAACGCTCACGACTCGTAAGTGTCTGCGCCAAAGCGGATGAGCGGTCGCTCGTCGGACTCGCCTAGGCGGCACCCCCGCGCAGCTTTGTGCGGTAGCACATCTTCCTGCTGATGACTGCCGCTGCTGCTGCTGCTGATGTCAAAGGCTAATCGCCGTCTGCGCGCGGCAGCAATCATGAATCACTGAATGGTGGAGTGCGCACGCAGCAGCAAGTCTGGGTGATTCTGTTTGCGCCAGCGCTATGGGTGGATGAGCTTAATTGTGATGCGCGCTCATGCGATTGCGATTCTTGCCCACCCTCGTTGATTTGAGACTCGACTCGGTCAAGAACGATGACTGGTGCTATGGTGGCTCAGGCTCGCAGCTCTTGAAAGTCACGAGTCTGGCTGAACAAAGCTGTACAGACAGGTGAACTCGAGATTGAATCACGAATGTGATTGCGCGCAATTAAGCATGCATCATGGGTTCAGACGAGTCTGCCCCGCTGTCCCGAATGGTCGACGCGCGGTCGTGGAGGCTGGGTAGCAGCAGCAAGCAAAGGTTTCGGGCACGGGCCCCGTGGCTGCTGCTGCTGCTCCTTGAAGGCGCGCGCCGCGCGCCGCGAGTAAGGTCTTCTGAGTTGAGTGGAACAAAGGCTCGATTTGGTTCTCTCACCAGATCCACCATGAGCGCTGCAGATGAACGCTTTTTTGTTGCGGTCGTACGTCTTTCCCTCAACTTGAACAAGACACTCTCGCTCATTCGACAAACTTTCAAGCTGCCTCTTGACCATCATCAACGCTACCACCTCGCCCCCTCGCATCGTGGGTACATTACACACGCGCCTTGCCATTGCGTTTCCGTTCCGCGCCGGAGGCTTTCCCCCACGACCCATCCGTCCAGCGTTGCCAACAACGCCAATCCATCTGCTGTAATCCAAAACCCTTGGCACAATGGCGCCAAAGCTCGCCTCCAGCGGCGAGACGGCCGCGCTCATTCGCTCGCTTCAGGAAATGTCCGTCGAGCAACAAGCTGTCCTGGCACAGAAGTCCGTCACACTGCTTGGTGAGTTGAATATCCAAACAGGGCTCGCAAGATCGCAAGATGCGTGTTCTTTTGCGACCCTGCTCACGCGAAGCATCAAATTGTCTTCTCCGTGATCGTTACAGATGTCCAAGGTCGTCCAGATGTGGGAGGCACAAAAGTAAGCAACACTTCTCAGTCCCATCCTATGCTTACTCGTCAACGTCGTGCTGATTCCTTGTCATCGTCATCCACGTCCGAAAGGGTCGTCCTATCACTCTGTATGCCAACATGTACAGTCTTGGTATCGCAGGTCAAGCTGCTAATAGTGGTGGTAACAAGCCATCGGCTCGAGGTGGTCGTGGCGGTGCGACATCGGCCCGTGGGGGCCGCGGTGGAGCTGTGAGCTCCCGTGGCTCTGGCACCGGCAAAGCTGTGCGAGAAGTCTTTCATTACGATGTCATCATCGAGTCCGTCCCTTATACAGGCGATGATGGAAAGTGAGTGAATCGATCGAGTAATGACTCACCTCCCAGGCGAGCTGTCGTTGACCAGGGCCCGACTCCTCTCCCTACAAGGACTCGCGGCACCCCGAAGAAAGACGACTTTCCGCCGCGCGTCAATCACGATGTGCTTGAGCATGGCCTAGCTCAAGCCGTCAAGCGAGGCGAGATCACCCAGGAGATAGCTACCAGTGTGGCGTACGATGGGCGCAAAAATGCCTACTCGCCAACGGAGCTACCAATCGACAAGAACCAGCTCAATGTCGAACTTCCGCCCAAGCCAATCATCGGCGCCAAGACCGAGCAGCCATCCGGAAAAGAACGCCCTCGTCAGTTTAAGCTGACTTTCACTCAGGTTGCCACGGTGGACTTTGAAATCCTAGAGCCCTTCTGCGCTGGCGATCGCAACACCATCCATGCCGGCGGCGCTACGACGAATGAAAAGGTCACAACGGCTCTTCAAGCTCTCGATGTCCTCGTTCGCCACGATCCAGCAAAGAAGTACAAGGCTCACGGTGGAGGAGGTCGACGCTTTTTTGATCCCAAGCTTGCCGTCAAGATCAGCGGTGGAGCCGAAGTCTACAAGGGTTTCTTCGCCAGCATTCGTCCAACCATGTCTGGCCCCGTTCTTAACATCGACGTCGCCTTTAGCGCTTTTGTGAGCGGTGGTGATTTCCTCACCGTCGCTGCTGAGGTGCTAGGGCTCGGCGGCGGTGGAGGAGGTGGTCGTGGCGGCCGCGGCGGCGGTGACCGTGGTGGCCGTGGTGGTGGCCGTGGTGGTGGGCGTGGCGGACCTCCTCCCGGCGCTCATGGTGGAGGCTCTTTGCGCCTCGATCCGAGACAACAGCAAGAGCTGCGCAAGCGCCTCAGAATGGTGCAAATTCAGGTTACGCACCGACCGTCGAACAAGCTGCAGATCTTCAAAGGATTTTCGCCCCGACCGGCGAATCAGACCATGTTCAACTTGCAAGACGGCACACAGGTGAGACTCGCACGAGCCGTCGCCATGACAGCTGAACTTACTGATCTGCTTTGCTCGAACATCAGACTTCCGTCGCGGACTACTTCTTCAAGACGTACAGCATTCGTCTACGCCATCCAGATCTGCCTTGCCTTCTCCTCGGCGGCAACGGCACCTTCGTGCCACCCGAGCTAGCAAGCATTGTCCCTGGTACCCCAATGAATCCCTTGAAGCTCAGCGTGGATCAGGTGCGTCGTCCGTTGCAACTTCGTTCTCGTGCGGCATGGTGCAACGACTGATCTCCAACCTTGACCGTCACAGATATCTGACATGCTGAAGATCAGCGCTCAGAAGCCGGCAGAGCGTGCAGGCCGCATCGCCGAGATTCGCAGCAATGAACTCGCCATTGAGAAATCTGCTCGCGTCCAAAGCTGGGGTCTCGACCTGTCGCCGACGCCCATGGAAGTTACCGGTCGTGTGCTGGCGCCGCCGAAGGTCGAATACGGACAAGGCCGAGTTCCTGCACCTATCAACGGATCCTGGAACCTCAAAGCAGTCAAGTTCGCTAGCTGCCCCTACCAGCTCATGACATGGTCTGTAGTCAACTTCACTCGAGCTCCTGACCAGGTCGTGCAATCCTTCGTCCGTGCCTTCGTGGGGCATATGCGTGACCTGGGCATGGGTGTGAGTAAATCATTGGGCGCGACCTCGAGACGCGATGCTGATCAATTCTCCGAACAAACGCCTTCAGATTCTCGAGGACCAGCCAGCAATTTTTCGCGGAGATCCATTCGACAGTGGTCTCATTCAGGGCGCTCTGAACAACGCAGGCCGCGAGGCCTTTCAGCAAGCCAAAAAGAAATTTGCCGGCAAAGCTGTGCCACCACAATTGTTCCTTTGCGTGATGGATCGATCAGATGCACCTTTCTACGACCAGATCAAGCGCACCTGCGCCCTTTTTTTAGCGAGCCCAGTGCCATCGCAGGTCGTCAATGCGAAGAAGGCGTTTAACGACCGTGGCCAGCCACAAGTGAGTCTATTCGCTTTCATCCGCCAACCGTTCGAGAACGTGCTTAACCTCCGCCATGTCCACCCAGTACTGCGCCAACGTCGCTATGAAAGTGAACGTGAAGCTAGGAGGTCAGAATCAGGTGTGTGCCGCGCTTCGCTTCTCATAACGATGCACACGCGACGTACTCATACTTCGTGATGCCCATCTGCAGATCATTGCTGGGCCACAGAACTTGCCTGGACTTCCTCCGCAAGCCATGCTGATCGGAGCCGACGTTTCTCACGGGTCGCCTGGCTCGACACTTCCAAGTATCGCCGCCTCTGTCGGTACTATGGACGCGAAGCGATCTCGCTATAGCAGCGAGGTTCGTGCTCAGTCCAACAAACGTGGTGGCGCGCAAGAAGTTATCTTGGACGCAAAGAACATGTTCCTTGGACATCTGAAACGTTGGAAGGATTCTGCGCCACCCTCTGCTATTCTAGTACTACGCGACGGTGTTTCCGAAGGACGTGAGTTGAACGCGACTGATTCGCCGCACCTTTCAACGAGATCGTTGATGATGACTTTCCTTCTCTTCAGAATACGTGCAAGTCGTCGAAGCCGAGTACAAGGCTCTCCGCGAGGCTTGCCGCGAGTGGAGACCGAACTTCCAAGTGCCAATCACTTACATCATCTGCGCAAAGCGACACCACATTCGCTTCTTTGCACGCAATCCGAACGACAACGACCAGCGCTCGCAATGTCTGCCAGCTGGAACAGTAGTGGACACTGAGATCATGCATCCATTTGGTTGGAGCTTCTGGCTACAGGCTCATGGAGGCTTGGTTGGCACGCCACGCCCTACTCACTACGTCGTCCTGCGCGACGAGAACAAGTTCACCTCTGACAACCTGCAGCAATGCATCAACAGTCTCTCATACAGCTTCCCTCGTGCAACGAAGGCAGTAAGCTTGGCTCCTCCGGCTGTTCTAGCCGACCTCCTTGCGGTGAGTGTGCCTTAATACTCTGGCGAAAGCCAGTTACAAGAGAGCTGACTTTCGTCTCATTCGCCATTGCGCAGGAGAAGGCCCGTGCGCTGATCCACGGCGAAGCTATGTCAGACGTAGAGAGCAGCACGCAGGCGTCTTCGGTTGCGCCAACCGATCTTAGCGAAGCCGAGGCCCGTGCTGTGATGAAACAATTGGAGCGAGGCGCAAACAACCACTTCGTGGAGTACCAGTGGTACCTCTGAGAGCTCCACTTTGGCCCCTCCCGCCTATAATCGACCGCTCTTAGTCCTCACAAATGAGAGCCAGATCGACCCGTGTCTTCGCTGTAGTCCGAATCGAAATCAAAGACGCAATGGTAAACCCAATTCAAGCGAGTGCTTGCTCCGAATTTCCAAGCGAAGGCACGCTCATTGACGACCTGCGGGTCGTAATGATCCCCAGCTCATCGATACCTCCTGACTGAAAGACTAGCAAAGCGCGCTTGGTGCTGGAGGACGCACTTAGGTGTGTCCGCGAAATGCGGTACCAGTGTTGTGATTGTAACGTGACGCGGCAACGCGTGTGGTGCATTTCATCTGTGCATGTAGCGTATGCGAGCCGCGGCATGTGCGCGCCTCTTGACTGCCATCATGGCTGATCGGTTCTGCTGACATCCAAGCAAAGAGACACAAGCCCAAGCGTCGTCAGCTATGTTTCTGCCCCAGTGAGCCTTCCGCATGATTCCTCAAGGTGTGGTTCGGAAGCAGTCACAGTCGCTCGAGACGGCGCGCATCTTGGCTCTCTGCTCCGCCTGAATCACCAACTCTGCGCTTGCGGTTTCTCGCCGACGCCCGCAGCGTCTGAGCGAGCACGCATGGCTAGCCTGCTGCTCGTAACAACTCATACTGCCTGAAAAAAGCTCAGTGATATGCCTCGCCATCAACACATCCATCATGAGACGATCGACTTCGCCAGCATCTACAAATGTGGCCTCGCAACCACACATGGGGCCGGATTTATCAAGCTCTGAGCCTGCAATGCCAAATCAGGCTTCAGCATCGGCTCAGCCTTTAAGTGAGGCGCGAGTCGTCAAGACCGAGTACTCGGAGATCATGTCGACAGCTGCTCCTGTGCGCGATGCGAGCCCAGAGCTGCCTCGAGCTCCAAGTGAAGAGCCAGGCGATCCATCGTGCACCAGAGAGTTGAAGGTCAGTGGCCCACACGAGACCACAGAAGCAATAGAGCAGGCGGCTCAGGGGACGGGTGACACGTTCGAGACTAGACCGCGCAAAAAAATAAAGTCGTCGACCTTCGTGCCGTGGAGCGAGAGCGCTGCAAGAGCTGCTGGAGTCGACGAAGACACTTTGGCAGAATTGCGGGCTGCCAGCCAGCCCTTCGGGTCCATATCAGAATCTTTGCGGCACCAGGTGGATCCAAAAGAGACACTCACAGATATGGCAGGAGCGACTCTAGGCAAGCCGGCATCGCAAGAGATGCAGTTCAAGATTCACTCGTCTGCTCATCTCTCGCCCGACGGTCTGCTGCAGTCGGATGAAGCTGCAGGAGCTCATGCAACATCTTCATTGAGCTCGCTCCCTTCGCTGATCGAGAACGCTACTCCCGCTCCCAAAACGAAGCGCAAGAACAGCACGAGCGATAACAAGGCGGCTCAAAAGTCCAAGACGGAAAGGGACCGCACACGGGCATTGGTCCTGGCAGAAGCCGCTGCTTCTGCTGCTGCTGCTGCTGCTACACTAGAGAAGGAAAGGGAAGCAGAGAGAGAGCGCGAGGCGCGAGAAAGGGAGGAAGGGCTAGGAGACGAGGATGAGGACATGAAGCTGTACTGCGTCTGCAAAGCCCTGTATGGTGAGTGCTGGAGCGACGTTGAGCAGACGGCGCCCTTCCATCTGATCAGACGATGAACCCCTCGTGTTGAACATCCCGTGCTTCCGACAGACGAGGAGCGCATGATGATTGCATGTGACCGCTGCGATGAATGGTACCACACCTCGTGTATGGACATGGATGATGCCAAGGCGGAGCTAGTAGACATGTTCATATGTCCTGTCTGCGAGCCGAGTGAGTGTCCTTGCTCAGTCTAAATTTGCATAGGTTGACGGGACTATAGCCACCTGACGCCAAGGTGGCGAGGCTTTTGCTGACGCATCCTGTCCCCCTGCAGAGACGACGGACAGAACAACTTGGAAGACGAAGTGTCTCCGTCAAGGGTGCACTCACGCTGCCCTTCCGCCGCTCTCGAGGTACTGTGGCCAGCGCTGCGGCATTTTGGTAGCTGCTTCCAGGATTTCCAAGACCAAGTACGCGAAAGCAGGGGCCAAAGCGACTGCTGAGAAGCTGCTGCGAACCGTGGTGAAGAACGCGACGAAGAGAGAGGGCCTGTGCGTCTGGGCAGACGTAGACGATTCCCGCACTTCGATCAAGACCTCATCAAACCAAGAGCTCCAAAGATGGAGATCAAAGTTCCATCCAGTGTTAGGTGCCTTCGACATCGTGGCAAACGGGGACAATGCGGGTGTGAAGGATGACGAGCATGCCCTGTCCTTGCGAACGCCCGCGAGCGCAGAAGCAGAGGCACTGCACCATCTTGGTCTTAACTCGCAAATTTTGGCTCATCGTCACAATGCAGCGGTCAAGACGTTCGGCATGGTTGAGGCACGCATCAGGTTGCTCGAGCTTGCAAAGCAAAGGGTCTCGACGTTGCCTGCCGTGGAGCCGGATGAGGGCGCCGTTGCATCCTCCACGACAAGCACCAAGAAGAGCAAGTTGAAGAAGCGAGAGACCGAGGAGGGCACAAAGGGCCTGCCCAGGTGCGGGTACGATGAGAGATTGCACTGGGACGATTATACTTTTCACGCGTGGTGGACGAGTGACAAGGCTCAGTCCATCCTCAAAGGCGAGACTGCCTTGGACGGTGTCCTCAGTGGCCCGGGCGAGAAGGCTCAAGGATCAGGCGCGTCGACCATTTGCGGGTTGGCCAAACGAAAGTGCAAAAGACACGCTGATTGGGCAACTGTGCGGGAAGCCGACTTCGAAGTCGAGCGAGAGCTGGTGGTGAGCTGGCTTGAGTGCGTGCCCCCTCCAAATGTGTCACCTAGCTCAGACCTTTCCCTCTCTCTCTCTCTCTCTCTCTCTCTCTCTCTCTCTCTCTCTCTCTCTC